ATTAAATATTTAACAGGTTATAGTAGGTAGTCATGTCCTAGATATTTCACCTGACAAAGATCAACTTTGATCTACTTTACTGAGCCCGTTTAACTTCAAGCATAACATATCTGTGAGCTGTCCGGGTAACTCGTAACTTCCTTTTTACCCCAGACCCCTCAGGGCACAACAAATGGCCTCGAGACATTCCCTCATTGTTATTGTTATCAAGTTAATTGTCAACTGTTAATTATGTTAGAGTATCTTGTATCCATCTCTGTAAAAGAAGCTCAGGTCCATCATTTCACCTTTTTATCCTATCCCAGGGCTTTCCCCGCTTTGCTCTGTCCCCCCTCCCTAATCTATCACCAATGAATTTCATGTAACTCACCTATGTCCCTTTCCTTTGATTGCAATGTATAAATATAGAAATGTAACCCGCCTTTCCTTTGATTGCAATGTATAAAGAAATGTATCCATTCTCCGGAGCATTATCTCAATTCGGTGAGGTTCTGCTTCCCGGCATATGTCGACAGTTTGGCTCAAATAAACTCACAAAAATTCTTTACAGGTTTCAATGGTGTTTTTTTCCGTTAACATTTCATAGTAACTTTCTTAAGATAATCGTAATAATTTTACGCCCAATGTGGCAAATTGAAATAAGATTATTCTAATATGTTCGACTATTTTGTTTTTGTATTAATTTAAAAAGTCAATCTCTACATTTTATCCACCCTCCTCTTGACACATCTGTCTTAAATAGAAAATATTCAAGTTAAACTTTATTATTATGAAACCTAAAATTGCAGAGGAAACTCATCTGAGCAAATAAAATGGTGAAGGATTCTGACCAGCCCTTCTCTGCCCTGTTAGCAGGGCGCAGAGGACACAGGTCATGGAGGAGACCACACACCAGGTCCTCCCACATCTTTCATAGGTTCCGGGCTCTTCTGAAGGAAAAGAGAGGTGGCCACTTTCTGAGCCCTAATGCTCAGTACTGAGTCCTGGTCTTAATGAGACTCAGTGAGAAGGGCTTCTCCCTCTCTCTCTCTCTCTCTCTTTCTCTCTCTCTCTCTCTCTCTCTCTCTCTCTCTCTCTCTCTCTCTCTCTCTCTCTCTCTCTCTCTCTCATGTGTGTGTGTGTGTGTGTGTGTGTGTGTGTGCGCGCGCTTTGGGAAGAGTAATCTTTCCTCTGAGGCCTCACACTCTCCCAACCCTTGTTAGAGATAATCAGTTCAGGGAATTAAAAAAAAAGAAAGTTTTACTCCACAGGGAGAGGTAGAAAAGGAAGTGTCTAATCCTATATCAACATGAAACCCATAAGAAGTTCTTTCTTTTCCAGCTCGAACCCTGGAAGCTGGGTGTGTTCCCTGGTGCTGAGGGAACCTCGGAGCCCATCTCTTTTCCGAGAGCAGGAGGGGAGGTAGCAGGAGGGGAGGTGGCTGTTCAGGGACCTCACGTGGCATAACTGCTGTTTGCTCACCACGTTCTCTCTCCATCCAGGTCCTGCTGCTCTTTCTCTCCTTCCCATCCTCAAAGATTTCCTGAATGTCACCCTTGCTTTTTCCTTTTCCACTCTGATCATCCCAAGTGAAGTCCCAGGAAGAGACAGAACGGTGGACATGGCGTATCTCAGGCTGTCATCAAATCTGGTAAGTTAACGATCAGTAAAGATGGTGATTAAATATCACTCATTCTTTGGGAAAGCTGCAGAGAGATTTTGAACTCACTTAATAGAGTTCTTATCAAAAACATGAATTAAAAGAGGAATGAAATCTACTGAACTGGAAAAACCTTAATAATAAAATACTGAGCCTTAACCAGTTTGGCTTAGTGGATAGAGCATCAGCCTGTGGACTCAAGGATCCCAGGTTCAGTTCCAGACAAGGGCATATACCTTGGTTGTAGGCACATACCCAGTAGGGAGTGTGCAGGAGGCAGCTGATTGACGTTTATTGCTCTCTCACCCTTCCTTCCTGTAAAATATCAATACAATATATATATTTAAAAATACTGATTCTGGTCTGTGTCGCCAGAGAGGATGTTGAATAATAGGCTCTCAGTAACTGGGCTGTTCATGTTGACACTGGATAACACTGGACTTTGAGCTCCAACCAGGAGGGTCTATGTTACTCTGGCTTCCATAGCTTATTCTGGGATATCCCACAATGACCCTCTGACCCCCTGGAGCTGCTTTGAGCATGAAATGAGGTGAACTATGTCAACTGGTTAACATTCCTGCCTACTTCACGAGGCCCATAAGCATTAGTTACTTTAATATTGAAAGATATGTACTTTATACTGTTATTTTTTTCTTTCCTATTTTGAAATATTTTAAACATATGCAAACTTACAAAGACTAGTAGAAAATGTATACATATACTCCACTCTTCAGAATTAATAGTTATTCATTATGATTATACTTCCAGCTGTTTTTAAAGAAGTAAAATGTTGAAGATATAAAGAGAGTCCCCATCTCTGACTCAGTTTCCCACACCAGAGACATTCACTGTCATTGGTGTGGTATCTACCCTCCCAGGTTGTTTGTATATACATATTTCCTTTTTCTTAATTATTATATATATAATTTCCACTTTGCAAGAGGTGGAGAGAAAGCTCGAAATGCTGGCGTGCTGGCTTCACTGCAAGTGTTGGCTATCAGTTACCTAATCACTGAATGATCCTTCCCAGAGATAGTGTCTTGTGCGTCCATTGCACTGGGGTCGTTGCTGAAGCCTCTGGAGTGAGAACTTGGACAATCCTGTAATTTCCAACAAGCATCCGCTCTGAGGTGGAAAGCCTTAGTCAGAACTCTTGTTGGGAACACATGCCACAACCTGATTTAATTATTGAAGCAGCGGAACCCTATTTTGTGCCCCAGTCACCTGAGAGATGGAATACATTCCCTTTTACTAAGCGACAGAACTCTTACTTCTTAGTAACTGCTTAGGTAAATATACAAAACAATCAGAATGATACTTTGCCCCTGGATAACTTACAATATACAATAAAGTCCCCCAAGACATAAAAACAGTGTCCAGTAATTAAAAGTGTAGTGTCACAAAGTATAGTGTCACAAAGAGCCTTTCCAGAGTGGCTCAGTGGCTGAGCATCAACCTATGAACTAGGAGATTGCAGTTAGATTCCCAGTCACACCACATACCCAGGTTGCGGGCTCAGTCCCCAGTGTGGAATATGCAATTCCCAGTAGAGGGGTGCAATCCTCAGTAGGGGTTGTGCAGGAGGCAGCTGATCAATGAATGACTCTCTCTCATCACTGATGTTTCTCTCTCTTCCTCTCTGAAATCAATAAATATACATGTATTTTTTAAATGAAGTGTCAAAGACTAAAAAAAAATCTTTCGATTCTGTAGGGTCATAAGCGATTCATGCATAAACAATTCATGTGGCTTTCCTGGAAGCGGAGTTCTTTGTGAGGAAAAATGTAAACAAGAGGGGAGGGAGACTCTTAACACAACACTGATATTAGTTCCATTGGGATTGAGTTCTGGCAATAGCTTTACTTGTATCTTTTTTGTCTTTATGAGAGCATTCTCCACTTCAGAAATGTCACCCAACCCCAGGTTAAAATACAACATGAGGATTTAAAACAACACTTCATCAGAGCTTTAGAATAGGGCATGGCAGGAGGCATGAGGGGGCCATGGGGGGGTCATGGTGGGGGGGTGCTGAATAAAGAGGATGATGGAATTGAATGCTGCTCTCACAGTAATGAGGTCATCTTCATATAAACTGGTTGATTTTTTACGAGAGGAAGGGAGAGAGATAGCTAGAAACGTCGATGAGAGAGAAACATCAACCAGCCGCCTCTTGCACACCCCCTACCGGGGATGTGCCCACAACCAAGGTACATGCCCTTGGCCGGAATAGAACCTGGGACCCTTCAGTCTGCAGACAGATGCTCTACCACTGAGCCAAACCAGTTTCGGAGAGGTTATCTTCTTTCTAAGAGTCCCTGGGTCCGTGGTTGGCAAACTGTGTCTTTTGAGCCACATGTGGCTGGCTCTTTGGCCCCTTGAATGTGGCTCTTCCACAAAATACCATGGCCTGGGTGAGTCTATTTTGAAGAAGTGGCATTAGAACAAGTTTAATTTTTAAAAATTTGGCTCTCACAAGAAATTTCAATCGTTTTGCTGTTGGTATTTGGCTCTGTTGACTAATGAGTTTGCCGACCACGCCCTGGAGCACTTTTGCCCTGGAGTTGGATATGACTGGTTTCCCCAGTGTTGGTGAGATGCTGTTTGGAATGAGATTTCTGCAACAGCAAGCTGAGTTCTCTGATGTGGAGACACAAGCCATCTGTCCTATCTATGGCTTACATGTGACTACCAGATTTGGTGCTTCTCATTAAAAAGCAAAAAGGAAAAGGTAGACAATTTGGAGTGTTCATTCCTGCCAATCTGAAAAGAATGAAGCATCCCTAGCTGGTTTGGCTTAGTGGATAGAGCATCAGTCTGTTGACTGAAGAGTCGGGGGTTCAATCCCAGTCACAGGCACGTGCCTGAGTTGTGGGCTTGATCGCATGAGGCAGCCAATTAATGATTCTCTCTCATCGCTGATGTTCCCCTCTCTCTCCCTCTCCCTCTCCCTCTCTGAAATTTTTAAAAGAATGATGCAAAAGGTTGGTGAATAATCACAGCCAGGAGCCTGAAAACCTCCCAAATACTGGACTCCTCAGACCCAACAAAACAGTAGCGCTGCTGATGGAAAGTCTGGGTGGGGCCCCCAGCACCCCCACCTTTTCGTGGCTCTATGTCACCAGCCATCCACGTGGAGGGAGCGTAGCCACCCTTGTCACCTGTGCTCATCTCTCTCCTGACAGGGAGCACGTGGCCCCAGGTGATGGAGAGGGACAACGCGAGCTCTCCCGGAGGCTTCGTCCTGGTGGGCTTCTCGGACCGTCCCCGCCTGGAGCCGGTCCTCTTCGCGGTCGTCCTGGCGTTTTACCTACTAACGCTCCTGGGGAACGGGACCATCATCCTGCTGTCGGCGCTGGACGCGCGGCTGCACACGCCCATGTATTTCTTCCTGGCCAACCTCTCGGTCCTGGACCTGTGCTTCACCACGGGCTCCGTCCCGCAGCTGCTGCACAACCTGCGGGGCCCCGACAAGACCATCAGCGCCCCAGGCTGCGCCACGCAGCTCTTCGTGGTCCTGGCGCTGGGCGGCGTGGAGTGCGTGCTGCTGGCCGTCATGGCCTACGACCGCCGCGCCGCCGTGTGCCAGCCTCTGCGCTACGCCGTGCTCCTGCGCCCACGGCGCTGCGGGCAGCTGGCTGCGCTGGCCTGGCTCAGCGGCTTCGCCAATGCGCTCGTCATGACGCCCCAGACGCTGCTGCTGCCCCGCTGCGGGCGCCGACGCGTGGACCACTTCCTCTGCGAGATGCCGGCCCTGGTGGGCATGGCCTGCGTGGACACCGCGGCCCTGGAGGCGCTGGCCTTCGCCCTGGCCGTGCCCATCGTCCTGGCCCCGCTCGCCCTCATCCTCGTCTCCTACGGGCACATCGCGCGCGCCGTGCGCCGGATCCGGACCGGGGCGGGCCGGCGCAAAGCCGTGCGCACCTGCGGCGCGCACCTGGCCGTAGTCGCGCTCTTCTACGGCACCATCATCTACATGTACCTGCAGCCGCCCAGCCCGCGGGCCCAGGACCGGGGCAAGTTCCTGACGCTGCTCTACACCATTGTCACGCCCAGCGTGAACCCCCTCATCTACACCCTGCGGAACAGGGACGTCCACGAGGCGGCGAGGAAGGTGCTGCTGGGGAAGGGGGGCGCAGAGGCCTAGTCGGAAGCGGTCCCCTGGTGGGATCCGCTTTAGACGGGTCTCCGGTACCTCTTGTTGGACCGAGCGCACGCCGGCGCGCTCTGGCATCTGCGGCTGGAGAGACACGTAAGGGGACGGGGAAGGCCGTGGGCTAGCTGTGTGGAGACGATGCAATGTTCCCACGTCCACAGTCACCTGTATTCCTCTCGGATCCCCCCAGGTCAATCCTTTCTCACAGGGGAAGCTCCAACCGTGGACCCGGCCATGAGCTCTGCTTGCGAAAATGCCTGGTGCCCTGGACGTAGAACCCGGCATGCTGTGCCTGGGCGAGCTTCTGGGACAGCAATGTATACTGAGCAGCCCTCAGGGCAACTGAGAAGAACGCACTCAGGAGGAGGGAAGTGCTGACGCTCTCCCGAAAGTTCAGGTGTTTTTATAGTAAGTGCCAAACGCCCGAAAAAGAGGCAAGATGATCTACCGCCCGGTGCCTCCCGCACCGCACTCAGGTTCCTATGTGGGTCCTGCATACTTGGAATAATGTCTATAATTGAGTTTAATGACTTTAATATGCAAATTAGGCTGGGACACCGAAATGGGTCACGACCAGACGGACAGGAGGATGTTATCCATGCAGGTGAGGCCAGGAGCGGAGTCAGAGACAGGGGGGGGGGCCTGCTCCAACCGGCCTCGGCTCAGGCAGCCCCGGGGTGGACACAGGCAGGGTGGCTGGGGGGACGCTACAAGTCAGGCGAGGGCCCTGCCCTCCGCCCCCCATTGGGGTACCTCCTTGCACCCCGGGAGGCGGAGCACCTCCTCCTGCGATTTCAATAAAGTAGAGAATAAAGAAGAAAGGATGCAAAGAAAGACCATAAGGTATTTGCTTCCTATAAAAGGAAGAGTTTCTTGCTTATAGTCAATACTTCACACTTCATTTATGACAGAAGAAAACTAAGGGGTTGTCTTCAAGTTTTTGAAGATTGTTCCTCCCTGCTCTCCCCGTACATGATCAGGATGATCTTGAACTGAGGCTGAGGAGAAGATGCACTCTGGGGAGGTGTGGGCATCTTTATGACTGGGCGATGTTGGCTTCTTCATGTTCACATGAGTGACTGCGGTCCCTGACTAGTTGTGACAGAAATTTAGGAGTATTGCCACCGTTGTCATTAGGAACTGGGTAAAAGAAGAACTTAGCAATTTCTCAGTTAAACTCCCTCAAAAATTTTAAGCAAGTTTCGATCAATCTAGAGTCCTCAGAAGAAAACAAAAGCAAATACCTAATAAATTGTTCTCCAAATATATCATTTTCAGATATCATGCATATTCCTATTCTGAGCAGTAATTGTTACACTTTGTTCAGATAGAACAGATTGTATTGTAGGTTAGTTAGGGCTTGTGAGAATGGCTTTGTGGTTTGGTTCTGATTATTGAAAATATTTTATTTCCCCCCAAATGCAGTTGATTCTTCCTATTTCATAAACTCAGTAATAGTTAGCCCAGCTCTAACTGGTATGGCTCAGTGGATAGAGCGTCGACCTGCCGACTGAAGGGTCCTAGGTTTGATTCCGGTCAAAGGTTGCGGTCACATCCCCTGTGTGGAGTGTGCAGGAGGCAGCTGATCGATGTTTTTCTCTCATCAATGTTTCTAACTCTCTATCCTTCTCCTTTCCTCTCTAAAAAATCAATAAAATAAAAAAAGAGGTAGCTTTAAGCTGTGGTGATGTTTATTAAGGGCCAGTCTCCAGAATGTGGAGCCTTGTGGCTTAGCACGGTCCATTTCTTCTACTGAAAAACGAGGTACAGCATGTATCCTACGGGCACAAAAAGATACAGCACATCTATAATAATAAATATGCAATATGCTAATTAGACCAGACTCCTCTGGACATCCTTCCGGACAAGCAGCCGCTGGTGGGGGCTGAAGCAGGTAACTTTTGAAATGCTAAATGCTTGGTCTTGAAATGTGTGCTGACAAAGGCTGACACAGAAAATGGAAGTTCTGCGTTTCTCTGGTGAGGCCTCACCTGGAGCTAGTTCTCTTTGTGGTTCTTTAATCTCCTTTATCTTCACTCTGCTGGGAAACACCCCATCACCACTTTGTCCTTCCTGGGCCCACATCTTCACACCCAAATGTACCTTTTCCTCTTCAGCCCATTTTCCAGATCCATGCCACCCTGCCAGCATCGCTCCCCTGCTCCTGGGTAACCTCAGTAACAGGCAAATCTATCTCTTGTGGTGGCTGTGTTGTCCAGCTGTAATCTCTCTAAGGGTGGGATCTGCGAACACATTGTCTCAGGAGCTGTGTCATGACCGCGGCACTGCTGTTTGAAGGCCTCGGATCACACGTCTCCACCCCGTCCTTCTGCCCTCTTGGCTTCTGCTTCATGGCTCATGGGTTTTGCCAGCTCTTTATTGGAAAGAGCTCTCATCTTTTTTGTCTTTCACTTTATTACAGCAGTGATTTTCATCTCTCAAAGATGACGTATCTTTGCATCTCTCATGAAAATCACAGTGGCCAGTTACAGATTCCCAGAGCCCATGAGTCTGCATTTGTGACGTGGGACCCCATTGCTCCAGGGCTCCTCAGCTGTCTGGTTTTCTGACCCACATTCATGTAACCACACAATTACATCAATTACTCCATTATTTCCTCAAACACCCTGGACTTTATTTGGTAGAAAATAAATAACTTTGCCTCTTTCATAGAGTGACATTTTGTTAAAGAAAACACATGTTGTTGTTGTTGTTGTTGTTGTTGTTATTTTAATCAAAGTAGAGAATCAATTTGTAGAACTGAACCAAATCACAATTTGATTGATAAAATCTAGTACAGAGAGAGACAACCAAGATGGCGGCATAGGTAAACACCACATAAAAACTACAACTAGTCGAGACTGGTTTGGCTCAGTGAATAGAGCGTGGGCCTGTGGACTGAAAGGTCCAGGTTCGATTCCGGTCAAGGGCATGTACCTTGGTTGTGCGCACATCCCCAGTAGAGGGTGTGCGAGAAGCAGCTGATCATAAATGTTTCTAACTCTCTATCCCTCTCTCTCTTCCTCTCTGTAAAAAAATCAATAAAATATATTTTTTTAAAAAAGAAAAAAGAATCCCCATCTTAAAAAAACAAACAAAAAACAACAACAACAACAACAACAAACTACAACTAAAGACAAAACAAATATCATCCAGAACTATGGAAAGCTGGCTGAGTGACAGTTCCACAACTAGAAGGAAAGAAAAAAGTGCATTGAAACTTGTAGGAGGCACAGAGGTGCAGAGGTGTGAAGGCAAGCACAAAATTGGCTGGCAACTGGATATGCTGTTGGTTTTTTTCAATTGGGATGGAGGTACAAGATCCCAATTGCTCTGAACTCCAGTTTCTGGTGAGATTCCCAGGACCCAGACTCATACAGGGAGAAACTGGACCTGAACTCAAAGGCAGCTTTTGCACCAATCATTGTTCCTGCACGAGCTAAGTGACACAGAGAACTGGGGACCTCTCTGATGCAGGGCTGACTGGCAGCCATTGCTGTTTTCTCTGCCCTGGTGATTCCCTGAGACCCCACCCCACCCAATTTACAACACCACAACAAGCTGAGCGTAGTGGCTTTTGCATATGAATGGTCTGTCCTTTTGCAGACTAAAACCTAACAAACTGCAGCTGGATCAGAGAGCTCCAAAGTTTCCGAAAGAAGGCCCAAAGCCTGGCAGCAGCAGCCTGCCTTACTTCACAGCTGAGCCTCATCTGGGCATCTCCAAACCCCAAACAAAGAGGAGGAATCTGCACATCTCTCTGAAGCTCCTGCTGGGTGGCCTCAGGCAGTGACTGACTTTGCACCTCCTTAGAGATCCAAGAACCAGTGTATCCAGTGGTCAGTGTGAGACCATCCAGATTACAGTTCTTCACTTCCATAAGTGACACACTCAGGGGCAGACTCAGTGAGCACCAAAGCCCCACTGAAGCAAGTTCTGCCCCATAAGGGTGTCTCCAACACAGCAGTTCTCCCATCATAGACACAGCTGATCTTCACAGCCAATTGACCTGGAAGTCAATTCCTCCCAGTGATACCAACAGCAATCAAGGCTTAACTACAACACTGTGCACACCATCCATAAAGGGGTGCACCAAGAGTGTCCACCTCAAGTGACTGGGGAGGCTGACCCACTGGGCCCTATAGTACACCTATTACACAAGGCCACTCTATCAACATAGGGAAGCAGCCAAGATGTGGAGACAAGGAAACATGTCATGAATGAAAGAAATAGAGGAAAGCAAATGACTGGATATAGGGTTCAAAACCATGGTTATGAGCTTACTCAAGAATATTCTAGAAACCTTTGAGAAATTTAGTGATACCCTCAAGTAAATGAAAAAGGACCAATCAGAAATCAAGTATACACTGACTTATAAAGAATAATATACAGAAATCCAACAGCAGACTAGAGGATCCCAGGAATCAAGTCAAACTTTTGAAATATGAAGAAGCAAAAAACACCCAACTGGAAAAGCAAAAAAGAAAAAGAAATCCAAAAATTTGAAATGTAAGGAACCTCTGGGCAACTTCCAGTGTACCAACATCCAAATTATGAGGGTGCCAGAAGAAGAGAGAGAACAAGATATTAAAAATCTATTTGAAGAAATAAAGACATCTACCAGATGAAAGAAATAGACTTACAAGCCCAGGAAGTGCAGAGAATCCCAAACAAGAGGAATCCAAAGAGGACCACACAAAGATACATCATAATTAAAATGCCAAGGGCAAAAGACAAAGAGAGAATCTTAAAAGCAGCAAGAGAAAAACAGTTAGTTACCTACAAGAGAGTACCCATACGACTGTCATCTGATTTCTCAACAGAAACTATGCAGGCTAGAAGGGACTGTTGAGAAATATTCAAAGTGATGAATAGCAAGAACCTACAACCAAGATTACTCTACCCAGAAAAGCTACCTTTAGAATTGAAGGTCAGATAAAGAGCTTCACAGATAAGAAAAAGCTAAAGGAGTTCATCACTGCCAAACCAAT